CATCTCCGACTTAAAAAACTCCTCCAGCCAGTCCCTTTGACATTTGAGTTGAAGTCCTAGAAAAAAAAAGGAAGCCTCTTCTCTGACCTTCTTGAAAATTTGGAGAAATTAACTTTCATAGTGTGCTGGCCCTGTACTTATTCAAAAACCTATTAAAGGGTCTTTAAGCATTCTGCCATTATCACCAAAGGTTTGCTTGTTTCAAAGACAGATGACCTGAAGCCTGGGACTCTATGACATTCCATTTAGTTCTGGCATTTCCAAGATTCTGATATTTACTCCACTAATTGCTCCCTAATCACATGCCTTTCAGTTGAGCTATCCTTAAGTCTCTCTTCTCTTCATTCTCTTCTCCTAAAAACTAAAAATTTGTACAGATTGAGCCCTACTAAGTTGTAGGATGTTTCCTTATTATTGGGTAGAGTATATTTTATGTAAAAGGTATCAGAAATGAAAATTATTCATTAACAAATATTTATTGAGCTGTTCCTGTATTACAGCACTGTGTTTACTACTAAAGACACAAGACTGAACAATGTATCTGTCAAGCTAGCAAGGGTTGCTGGGAAATATATACCATGAAGATCAAGCTCTTCATGCTATGTGGGCACAGCAGAGGAACAAGTCATCCAAATTTAGCAGTCATGGAAGATTAAAAGGAGGGTTAGCACTCATCTGCTGATGCATTCATTGATTAATCCAACAAATACTTGCTGAGAGTCTTATGTGTACCAGCTCTGTGATAGCCATTGTAGATGAGAATGAGTGTAATCTTTTAGTCTTTATGTTGGAAATGTTTCCTAGTTTAGTATGACAAAAGTACATGTAAATAAATAACTACGATATGATGTAATCAGGGAGAGTTTGACTGAGAAAGGCAACTTCTCTGTGGAATTGTACTTGACCTTGAAGGTTAGGAATAATAGGGAAGAAGAAGGACTCTCCACACAGAGGCAACAGCTCATGGAAATATTGGGTTGGCTAAGAAGTTCATTCGGGTTTTTCCATAAGATGTTACAGAAAAATTCGGATGAACTTCTTGACCAAGCCAATACGTGGAGGTGTGAAAGCACATGCTCAGTAAGGTAATTACAAGAACTGGGTGTGGTTAAGGGTAAGACTGGTAGATCATGACTGGAATGGTAGGTGACACCAGATCACAGAAGGTCATTTGATGCCTTCTCAAGGGATTTGGATTTATTCTGAAAATTATAAGAAGCCACAGAACAGTTTTAAGTCAGGAAGTAACCTTTTTAGATTGTGTCTTAGAAAGATGAGGGTGGACTAGAGGAAGAAGCAATTTATCTGATTCACAAAACCACCCTGTGAGGTAAGTGTAACAGGTATTTTTACTCACATTTTATTTATAAGAATCTAAGACTTAGAGGTGTAGAGTGATTTGTTTAGGGCCAATAGGCCATTTCAAAATTGATAAAAAATAAACAATTTCAGACAGGAACGTAGATGGAAACTTATATGCAGTTTACCTTTGGCTTCTGTCTTGCTTTTCTCAAAAATAATAATTGCAAGCTAGTTCTGGTTGCACTGCTGACTCCAACTAGTTTTCTATAATGAATTAGATAGAATTTTTACAATTTGAATCAGATACTTTGAAGCATCAAAGCTTACCACAATATGTTTTCCTATTCCCTAGGCAAAGGCCTGAGTCATTCATATTTTCTGATGTTATTCTATATCTTCTAAATCTTACACTCCAGGTTGCAAATGAACCATGGGAATTTTCCAACTTCTCTAATTTTTAGTCTACAGGAGGCGATTCACTTTAAGAAAGTGCCATTTTTATCTTCTAATATTTAAACATCTCAAAACTGTTGACACTGGTTCAGATATGTTTCTTCTGCTATCTGTGGGATGTTGTAGGAGTCTAATAATTGTGGTTTGGTTTTATTCTCTTCTCAGTTTAATATTTAAGTGAAAATAAGCCATTAATGATTTTCTTTTCCCCCAAATATTTCTAATTAGTACTTAAAGTTTTCAGTATATTAATTACAATAAATATTGAGGATTATGTTCATAGAAAAAGAAAACATATTAGTTAAAACTAATCCTGGAAAGTCTGGATTTTTTTGAGGTGAAGGGTGAACAGCAATAAGTCTGTAATATTAGCAAGGGAAAGTCAGCTTACTTATTTTTCCTCTACAACACTGGTTCTCAAACTGTGGTCCCAAGGCCAACACCATATGCATTACCTAGGAACTTGTTAGAAATACAGATTCTTACCCTGAACTCCAGATCTACTGAGCTGAGGAAGGTGTGGAGTAGAGTGGGGGAACAAGAGAAGAGGCAGTCATTTTTTTAATCAGATGCCCTCAGTGATTTTGATGTAGGCTAAAGTATGAGGCACATTGGTATAAAAGAAAAAAGCATATATATTTCAAACTGTAAAATACATGGTTTCCATTCAAACTCCAGACATTTGATTTTAGACATATTATCTATTTCCTGGTGCTCTCATCACATTATCTGGTTAATAACTTAATCCCTTAGCCGGCCTCATGAACATTATAAGTGATACTTGATTATTTGCTCTATTGACAATTTCCCACTTCCAAGTGACTTGGATACATGCTTAAGTTTGAGAACCACTGGTCTATAAGTGTAATATATTGGAGGCAGACGAGTTAACGTAATTTGAGAGGCCCAATGCAACATGAAAATGCAGGGTCCTTTGTTCAAAACATAAGAATTTCAAGATGGTGACAGGAGGAGCATTAAGTGAAGTATGGGGTCCTACTAAGCACAGGCCTACAACTACACAGGTGGAACACGCAAAGAGGAGTCTTTGCTTGTGTCTAACCACACCGTTCTGTTTTGTTTTCAAATGGAAATGTATAGTGCCTTGAAAGAAGGCCACATTTCCTACTCAGACCCTACCCTCCTGTGCTGTCCATCTCCACAGACAGACCATGCTCTTTGGCTTCCCATCTTCTCTCGGTGTTGTCTTCTTTTTAGCAGGCCCAATGCATTTGTACTTGAAGACCCAATTTAAGGTCCCCATCCTCTGAGAAGTCTTCCCTTATGACCTTAACTCAACTCTGTCTTTCTAAACTTGTCATTACTGGTTTTATTACAAATGTAGCTCTTTTTAAAATGTTAATGATGATCATTGCGCTCCTCTTGTTTCTTACATCAGAATATAAACATCTTGAGTAGTGAGATGGTGTCATCATCGTACAATGGAAAGAACATGGGATTTCGAACTCTATAAAGCCTGGGTGTAAATACCCTCTATTGTTCACTAGCTGTGATACAGGCAAATTTGCTTTTGAGTCTCAGAATCTTCATTGGAAAAATGGGATAATAAGACCTACTGCACTGAGTTGTTGTGAGGACTAAATGATATATGTAAATCCCTGGGCATATAGGTGCTGTGCTAAGTTGCTTCAGTCACTCTTTGCTACCTATGGACACGAACCTGTGCATGGCATTCTCCTGGCAAGGATACTGGAGTGGGTTGCCATTCCCTCCTCCAGGGATCCTCCCAACCCAGGGATCAAACCCGCATCAGTTATGCCTCCTGCATTGGCAGGCAGGTTCTTTACCAATGGTGCCACCTAGAAAGTTCCCTTTTATAAATGCTTATAAAATATGATTTCATTTATTGGTTATCTCCCTCTACACATCTGATTTTGTTTTAGCAAACAGATAGTTGCTAAACACAAAAACAAGTTTCAATAAATATATGCTTGTTGGAAATTATATGTATTTTTTCTTGTATTAAATTACATGTATCCAGGAAGAAAATCAATTCTACATTGAATTACTTATACAATGTTCATTATCTCCAACTTGTTTGTACATTCTTATATTCATATTTTGACCTTTATAAAAAATTTTTTAAAAACTCTGTACAATCCTTTATATTTTCAAAATATTTTCAAACCTATTATGTTATTGATGTTCCCTTACAGGGGTGAAAAGAGTTTTATTCCCAGTGAGGATAAGGGAGAGATTGGAACAGAGTAAGAGATTGCCTAAATTACACACACTACCAATATCCACTAATGTGTCCTTGAAACTGGGTCTAAACTCATATGCTGACTCCTTGCCTAATATTTTTTCCACTATACCAAATCTGTAAAGGACATACAGGAACAATTGTTTTAAGAACGTATCTGTAAAGTACCTACAGGAACAATTATTTTAAATGATTAAAAGAGAATAAATGATACTGTTTCTTTTCACGTTGGGCACATATTGGGCATTCTGTGTCTGTTGAATTAAACATGTAAGTTGCCTGTTACAGTTCTTGGATCACTGCAGTACATGCTCAGTAAAGAGTATGTTATTTAAATTCCTATTTTTGATAAACGTATTTTAAAGGAATTTTTTTTTCCTGATGAGAATTTAAGGAAAGGGGTCATTATTTTTAAGACAGTTTCAATTTGGGGCCTAGCAAGTCATGCTTGAAAGCTGTTTTTTTCCCCACGTGAGTTATTACACTTCCTCCTGCCTGACTAGCGCAGCCTACAACCTTGCCTACCAAACTTATGACTCAAAGGCTCCTGAGGACTTTCTGTAGGCTTCCAGCCATAGCCCAATCACCCGAAGATGCTCCCACGTGAAACAACCAAACACAATCCCTCAAGCCCAAGGCCCGCTAAAGCGAGAGCTCCCAAATAAAAGGCGAATGAGAGGGCAGCGCCCCCCTTTTGCTCCCACCCCTCCCCGCCTGCAGCATCCAATCGCGTTTCTCTGTTGTGCGGTCGGCTCCTGGCATTGGCCGGGAACGGGACCCGCGCGGGACCAGTGCGCACGGGCCGAACTGGAGACTTGTCCGTCACGTGCGGCTGCCCGGCCACCCCGCCTCACAGCGCGCCTGGCGGGGCCGGGGAGGGGGCGGGGCCCGGGAGCTGCTGCGCCTGCGTTGTGGGCGTTCTCGGGGAGCAGCTGCCGCCGCTGCCGCCGCCGCCTCCGCCGCTACCGCCGCTACCGCCGCGTTTGGGTGTAGAATTTGGAATTCCTGAGCCTCGTTAACAATGAAGCAGAGTTCGAACGTACCGGCTTTCCTCAGCAAGCTGTGGACGCTTGTGGAGGAAACTCACACCAACGAGTTTATCACCTGGAGTCAGGTAAGGGTGAGGGCACCGCGGCCTCCGAACCCCCTGACTAACGTCCTCCTCTTTCGCTCTCTCCCGCGGGGCTGTCTCTCGCGGCCTGCGGCTCGACGCCCTCTGCGAGGGCCCGCGGCGCGGGGGCGGCAGGGTGGCGCGGGCCTCGGCGCGCGGCCTCGCGGGGGACCACGGTATTGTTCGCGCGGGGAGCCGCGGGGGTCCCGGCCGGCGCCGCGGGCTCAGGCCGCGGTGGGGGAGGGGCGGCCCGCGCGGGGCTCCGCGGCTCGGGAGACCCCGTAACGGTCCGGCCCGGGCGGCGTTCGGAACCGGCCCGGCGGAGCCAGGGCGGCCGACGAGCCCAGGGCGCGGGAGCCACGTTACTGCACACTCATCCTCCGTCCTCCCGCCCGGCTCCGGGCTGCGGCTCGCTGTGGGCCGGGCAACCCGGCCGGGATCTTCGACGCGGGGTTTCTGCGAGGCAGTCTTCACCTCCGGGACCTGATTCTCGTCCCTGAAAACCGACACACAGCCCGCCTCGCATCTGAGATCATTGTGGGGACGGCATTGCTTATCAGTAGGTTTAAAAAATACCATGTTATCGAAAATGACACATTGTTCTTTGACGATTCTGAGCCATTTGTGTAAATGGATTTTTTTAATGATTATTTTAATGAAAGTGCGAATAGACAGGTGCTGAGTAACATAGTGAAGAGCAGAAACGAATCACTAAATTTCACTAAACAGTTGCCGGCAGTGTAGTATATAGATGCCTTGACAATTGATTTGATCCCAGTTCTGCCACTAAACAGGCTTCTTAGCTCACCTGGCCCAAGTGTCTGAGGAATGGTTTACCTGGTTACTCCAAGACCCCCCTCTAATTCCACATACTGATTATAATTAGAATGATTATTACATAAACAGAGCGTTTGCGTTAGAATATTAAGCTATGGAATCATTTTGTGAAGGGGAGTGGAGTTCTCTTATGGTAGATACTCATCTATTTTGGATATTATCTTGTTTTAGAGGTCTGGAAAAGAGTAAGTGAAAACTACCTGCACAGTGCCTGACACCTGTTAGGTGCTGAGTAAATGTTATCTTACCTTTTGCTCCCTTCTTTATTTCTTTCCTCTATTTTCAGTTTTATTATTTACTTTCATCTTGACAGAGGACAGTATATTGAGTTTGGCTACTCAATATACCATATTCTGCCTTATATTGCTGTCATTTGTTCATTTTCTTTATCTCTCTCTAGGACCTAATTTTCTTCAAGGTCAATATCAGGAACTGGATGTTGTATATAAAACATTTGATGAATTCTGTGCAATTGTAAAAAGAAGGGGTGAAAATAAGGAAGCCAGCCGCCAGTATACACTTAAAAATAAACATATGTCTCATGCTTTTCATCAGTCATAAGGATTAAAAGTTGACAAGGATGGATCAGCACCGACTGCTGTTACTCAGCTTTGTGCATGTAAGAGATTGAACTGAGAGTCTGCCCACTCCCGGCTGACTTTATCACACCTATTTGTCTTGGATGTGCCTTGTTTTTATTGCCAAGAAATGGTACCTAAATATATTTGTAATTGGTCTTAATTAAGGTGTATTATGTCAGTAGCAGGTCTAATAGATTGGCATAGGTCAGAAATGTTTTAATAGTTTTTGGGGGGGCAATATCAAATGTGTGGAGTTTAATGCTGCTGGTACTCAGTCGCTCAGTCATGTCCAAGTGTGTGTGACCCCATGGACTGCAGCCCTTCAGGCTCCTCTGTCCTTTGGAATTTTCCAAGCAAGGATTCTGAATCGGGTTGCCATTTCCTACTCCAGGGGATCTTCCTGACTCAACCCAGAGATCAAATCCACGTCTCCTGCATTGGCAGGCAGATTCTTTACCATTACTCCACCTGGGAAGCCCCCGGTAGAGTTTCATACTAATCCATAAAAGCATCATTTTATGAATTTTAAGCCAAATAAACAAGCCACTTAAAAATCATTCTTAGTTTTTCCATTGCCACTTAAAAATCATTCTTAGTTTTTCCATTAAGTCTAAGCTTCTCTTTTAGCTACTCATTTTCTAATACATGGTGGGACAATTAAAACATAAATTCAGTGAGGGAAGGGAACAGTATCTGTGTCAAGGGACACAGTAGGTACTTAGTGTTTGATGAAACAGTGGAAGTCCATGGACTATGTAGTGGAAGTGGTAGGAAAGATAAAGGTAGAATGATGCTTGAAAAGAATTCTAAAAGATTATCTGGTTTAGTCTCATCATTATATAGATGAGGATTGAGACTTAGGCAGGTTAGATTATTTATCTGTAAATACAAAGCCAACCATTATTGGAGGTAGGGTTCTAATACAGATTTCTGATCCCCCAGATCATTGTCCATCAGTAGCACTGCATGTAATACAAATTGTTAGAATATTTAGTCTTATATCAAAATGTTACTTCCACACGTCAGTGGACAATTCTGGATTAATGTTGTCTAGGGCTAAGCATAGGAAAGCTGTCTTACACTCCCACGGATTTTTCCAAAAACAGTGTTAACAATGAAAGGTAAAACTTGAATTGAACAATGATGCTAGATGGAAAAACCAAAATAATTTACTCTTCATCTTTTAAAAGGTGCTATTTATGGTTGTTTCTGGTTTCCTTCAAACTTGTTTTGCTGGACTTCTGTTGAGGTAATTTAGCATTTATACTATCTGAGTGAAAATCATATTAAGACTTTTTAGAAATAGCAGATGTTTTGGAAACCAGGCAGTCTTTTATGCAATTGTTTTCACTTGTGGAAAATAATTTACTTCTGTAGATTGAGTATAAGGCAAGGGGAGAAAACTGTTACCAACTGCAGTTTGAAAAGTTTGGCTTAATATTCCTGAAGACTTACATAGCTTTAATTTTCATTGAAATTTGTAATATGACATAAATGAAATATCCCCACTCATGTCATTTATTAAAAAAATCAATATTCTCACCAATCAAAATTATACTGTTGTAGACTCATTGTACATCCCCCAAGGTTCCTCATTGATATTTCTCTTTCTTTTTTGTTTGTTCTTACATTGCCTATAACTTCAAAGTTTTATGTAGCTATTTTGGCTCTGATGAGAAGTCTGTTATCAGAATCAAGGACAGAGATAGTACTGTCGGACAAATTAAAACTGTTTTGAACGTGACAGAGCCCTAAACAGAAAGCACAGGTTTAGCTTGGTAGCAACTGGGGAAACTTGATATTCAGGGACACGAGGTTGTGGAGGTTGAATGGAAGTACTTGCCATTGATAGTGAGGAACAGCCTTTACTGTTACTGATACATGATACTCAGTGTGTGTTGAAGTGAAGCAGTATTAGAAAAGGAAAGAACTGGAGGTCATTGTTTTACCAGTGTTGTTAGCTTTGTCTCAGTTCTTCAGGTTGCTTGAGAATACCAAGAAGTGATTTCCACCAAAGACTTCTTACTCATTTGTTTCACCTTTTTGTGCCCTATGGCAGTTTCAGTTTCCCTATCCATCTCAAGTCAGCAAAAACAAATCAAGGAAATAGGAGGGAAATGAAGCAAAACTAAAATTTGTCCAGTGTCTCCTACTTGTTTCAGATGAATTTGAATAATAGATCCTTAGATTTACCAATGTTAGGGTATTGTTTTGAACTTCCCAGCAAACATTGTATTATTACAGTATTCTCCAGCGAAAACAAGAAAGGCCACAAATATGGCAGAATAGAGGTTAAATCCACTTTAGATGAGCCTATGGAAAAATTGACCGATTCATTGGCAAGTGCTTTTTTATTGTATACGTAAGAGAGAATGGGACTTCCAAGGTGATGCTAGTGGTGAAGAACCCACCTGCCAATGCAGGAGACAGAAGAGACACAAGTTCAATCCCTGGGGTCAGGGAGATCCCTTGGAGAAGGGCTTGGCAGCCCACTCCAGAATTCTTGACTGGAGAATCCCATTGTCAGAGGAGCCTGGCAGGCTGCAGCCCATAGGATCCCAAAGAGTCGGACACAACTGAAGCAGCTTAGCATACATGCACGCAAGAGAATGAGCTAGAGACTCACAAGGAATGATTGGTAAACATTAAGAAATTATAGACTAGTTGTTTAAAAAATAATACCAATTTCTGTTTTGAAAACTGTTTTAGAATAATGGGGCTGAAGTATTATTATTAAAAGTATTTTGGACATTTTTAACCACGAGTACCAATCTTAGCAGAAACAGTTGTGACTACTCTTTGGAAGCTTTAGGTAAGGCCTGAAGAGAGGCTACCATCCTTCCCACCCTTTTGAGTCGTAGTGGCTTTTTGTACCTTGTAAAATGTATCAGGAGAGTTCTGTGTTACATTGCTTAAACTTACAAGTTTAAACAGCCATAAGGTGGAATTTTTGCATTCAAAGAGCTTATTTACTAATTTTGAAGTAGAGACTGAAGGAATACCATAAACAGAGACACAAAACAATACGAGTGAGTTAGGGTTGTGTGTGTTTGAGAGAGAAAGCAGATATAAACTAGAGGCATTGATTTTTTCATTTGTTATATGTAATCCAAGAGTTGAAATTATAAAAATATAATTTGGTCCACTGTGACCAAAGACTCATCATTCAGTCACTCCCAAGTAGTAGTTGTGAATCTGTTATGACAAGACAGTGTGCCTAGGTAGTAGGAATTCATTCAGTAGTGAAAAAAACTAGCAGTCTTTATGGAGCTTTCATTTTAATGAAGGACACTGATAATTAAAAAGTAAGCAAACACAGATACTACAATAATATAATTTCAGTTAGTGATAAGTAACAAAATAAAGCAGCGGAAGGAGAATGTATCAGTTTAATTAGGAGACAGAAGTCACAAGTATTTTGAACAGAGGAAAGTTTAATAGGATTAACTAACTATATCAGGAAAATAAGGAAAACTCTCAAGAATATAAGAATAGTAGTTTTAAGAAGCAACCATCACTGATAGGCTTAAGATCCAGTGCCCAAGTAAGAGCCCTTCCCCCCAAGTTCTGAGACCTTGTCGGAGA